AATCAATCAATCAATCAATCAATCAATCAAAACAACTTATAGCTGACAGTTAGAGATCAGGAAGATTATGGTTATGCTAATTTTGTTATTTTTACTTCTAAAAAGTGTGACTGTATAAAACCATTCTTCCCAAAAATGGCATTCATTGCGAAGCATCAAACCAAAATAGCAAATTCCCTTCTAATCTGGTAATTATAATAATCCTGTGATTTATGTTTATGATAGCAAACTCTTCAGAAGAAAATCATGTTTATTGTTTTCCTTCTTATTTAAAATCATGGTTGGCAAATCTTAAGTTTTTGTTCCTCCAAGGAACATATCAGGAATATTTTAATTGGGTGTAAAACATAGAATGGCAGGGTGAGGAAGAGAAGAGAAAAACAATAATATGCTTCATAGTTACTATTTAAATACTTCCACATGTCTACTAAGGGTGTGGGAGATGTAACAAGGGTAGTGTCAAGGTCTAAAATTAATATGCCTAACTATAGCCAATATCCGTGTTATACTAGATTAATCAAAATGCACATGAATTAAAGGCTGGCAACTGTAAACTGAAATATTCTTTAGATGACCTCAGCTATGTGATGATTGGGTGAAGGGCTTCCATGCATGCAACATCTAAACTCATTTTAGACATTTTTTGTGAAGGCAAAGTAGAGGGGTAATATTTAAGTGTAATTGTAATGTAGAGATAAAATATATTGTTTTGCATGGTAGACTGATTTATTCTAATCCATATTTTTTTAAAAAAGTTTCTTGAAAAGCTTTTTAAAAAAGGAAGCGTCTTTCTTATAAAACAACACGTATAATTTTAGTATGCCGTTAAACATTTAATGACATATAGATTATGTTTGCATAATACACTTGCCCATAGTTAGTTTTACTTAAGCCAATTTTTGGTTCGTGTTCTTTTTTAATTTACTGAATAAATGCTTCAATATCAGGTGGGAAAGACCACACAAGAAGATGCTATTAAACTGATTTGTTGCTAAACAGCCTATTCACACCAATCTTTTGAACTAATAGTTAGCACCTGTTTACAGTTAGATAAAAAATAATGGAATTCAAGGAGGGTTGGACTTAAATCACTTGTGCCTATAGAATAATAGAATTGGAAGGGAACTTGGAGGATTCCAGTCCAACCCCCTGATCAAACAAAAGACCCTATACCACTCCAGACTGTCTGATCCCTTCTTAAAAACCTCCCCTAGTGGAGAACCCACAACTTCTGGAGGCAAGCAATTTCACTGATTAATTGTTCTGTCAGGAAATGTCTTCTTATTTCTAGGTTGGATCTCTTCTTCATAAATTTCCATCCATTGCTTCTTCCTGCCTCCAGGTGATTAGGAGAATACATTGACTCCCTCTTCTTTGTGGCAGTCCCTTAGCTATTAGAACAATTGCTATCATGTCAACTTAGTCCCCTAACACCTTCAGTAAACTAGACCTATATAGTTCCTGCAACTGTTCTTCGTATGTTTTAGCCTCCAGTCNGAGAGGGCATAAAACTAGGAACTTTCAGCATCTCTGCCTCTTTTCTTCTTCACCCAACATCTGGAAGCACGTGATCCCCCTTTTCTGTTCAGGAGCTCAAGACACGTGGTCCTGTCCACCATTAAACCATCTTTCCAAGCAGCCTCCATGTTTCCAGTGTCTTTTTCCCCACTTGGAACTGAACCCAGAAATTAAAAGCTTCCAACAGTCAAAAGCTGTAACATCAGGTCGCACAGCTTTTCACATTGTTCTTTTGACGAAAAATCAAGAAATACCACTTAAAAGTTATACATCTTTCTCCTTCAACCCAACTATTTACCTACAAGTTGAATATCCCTGATAATTATCAGGAAGTCTCTGTGCTATATAGACGTGGCTTGTCTCACCTTTGCTCCTGTTAGTCAGATGTTGCATCTCCACCAACTCTTGCTCTGCCAAACTGCTCTGCTCCTTAATTAGCTGGTGGAAGGAATCATGCACGGCCCCTTCATCATATGGACTTGGGTCTTGGCTGTGGGGAACAGAGAACCAGTCTGCCGAACTATTTAATGAAGAGGATCCCTAAAACAACAGCCTCTAACATCACACCAATTTCACATGGGATTTAGTTAGCAGTTGGGAATAGTGACTAAATGGAAGGAGGCAAAACGTATTAGAACATTACAGTTCTTATAGCAAACCATAACAGAGTCTAAGACGCAGACAGAATGCATAACAACCACGTGATCAAACATGGTTTGCAAAGACTTCCCCTCAGGGCCTTCAGAGCCTTATGTAAGCATCTACTAATGGGCACCCAGGAGATCTACATAATGAGAGTGAAACCAAAGCCTTATATGTTTAAACAATAAACTACAAACAAATAATGAAGTCTTGATTATTACACCTTGGAAAGTAGTGTTGTAAGGTAGAGATTAATCTCAGCATCATATGTTTTAGCGCTCTAGTAATTGCATTTTATTGTTCCATTTTTATTTCTAATTTAATTAAACTGTTAACATATTTCCATCCGAATTCTGTAAATCCTTATTACATAGCTGTATACTGTTCTGGTATGTTCTGTCCTAAGTTTGAGGAAATAATGATTATCTACCAATCTAATATTGAGGTAGAATCAATAAATTCCTCTCTCTTCCAGGATTTGTAATATATGAATCCTGTACTTTTGATATCTCTGGCTAAAATTCTACTAATAGTAATTTGCAGATCTTAGTACCATATGGTGCAATAATGTACAAAACATGTTTCATATGTCTTAAGATCAGATCTAAGGCAGCGATACTCAAAACATTTAGAAGCAATGACTAATATTTTCCTAACACTGTAGACTATTCTGAGAATAACTGAAATCATGGTAGGGCAATTTATGCACCACCCACTCATTCCCAAGGATCTACATTGGAGATTATAAATAGTCCTGATAGTACAGAATTCTTGTAGCTCAGGATTGAACTGACTTCCCATATGAGGGGTCCTTGGTGCTCTCTAAGCTTGGTGGGATTTTTTGCAAACATTTCATTACCAAACTAGGTAACATCATCAGTGCATATAAATAGTCCATCAACTTTTTTTTCCAATGTTGATAATGATTTATATTTGTTACTGGGAACTCCTCTCTCCAGCTTTCATAAACAGGCAACAGAACTCCCGCATACCATGCTTTATGCTAACAAGATTTATATTTTTAGTATTCTGACAATTCAATATAGAAAAAGAAAAGTCTTATTTTCAGGCTTTTGAAAAGGAGTTTTGCTTTGAAACCAATACATGCCAATTTTCAGCTTTGTATGTAATTTGGAAGTATCTCACTATCTGATCACATGCTTTCTTTTTCTAAGGCAGGAATGAATACAGTTCCCATATACTTTTTAAAAATGTGCCTCTTTTTTTTTTAAAAAAGAACCACACTCACCTGGCAGGGTCTCCATTCTCAAAGTCCTGAAAGGTGAAAGTCACCGTGTGGGACATTTTGATAAATAACTCCACAAGTAATTTGCTCGCCTCTGCACTTTTCAGTTCCACCACATTGCCAAATGCAGGTTACAGAAAGAATCAATGTCACACGGAGCTGGTTCCATTGAGACGATTCAGGCTCCACATCTTCTAACAAATGGTTCAGACTGTGGTCTAATATCTGGTGTCTTCTTATTCCCTCTTGAGATCGAAGAACAGCAGGCCACAAAACGTTCAAGCCTACACGCCATAAAGAACACAACTTGAGACACACAGAGCTGGTATACTGGGCTCTCCCACCTCCTCCTACTACAAGATTTAGAAAAGTGTGTATCGCAAGAGCTGCCTGGTCCGCTGTGAGCAAATCACACAAAAAGGAAGGAAAACAAGATTGAGACAAAGGTTGCAATTCAGACAATGCAAATACAGCTGCTGGCGCTCAAACTTCATAGTTCCCTGACTTACAGTAGGAAAGCAAATCATTTCTGCAAAGGAAAGCGGAAGCTCCCTTGCACTTACCTGCAGGTGTATCTCTGGCCTTCACTACCAAAGACATAACATAAAGTTTCTCTTGATTGTCTCAATCCTTGTCAAGCAGCCCGGCTGTCACTAAGGGAGATAAGTAACTCTGCATTTCAATACTCCAGGATGGGCTAGGCTTCCAAGGGTTAGTAAAGCTCAGTTCCTGCATTCCTGAGAGGAGAATGTGAGTGAACACCAGCAAATGAAGCAACCAAGCTTCCTGCCTGACAGGAAGTTTGTTTCTACCACTGACTGTGCAGGTTCAGCTGGCTAAAACTCTCAACATCGCATGAGAAGAATGAAGAAAGGAAGCGAGGTTGTTGCCTATGAAAGATAAAAAAATGGAGCATCCTGTCAGGGGTTAACACCAGGAAACTGTCTGGATGCTTCCCTGGTTCAGCTCAACAAGAGTTGCAACACGCATTTACTGTATGCAGAAATGTATACTGTATGCATTTTGTTTTTCTGTAAAAGACGCTAATACTTTGCTATACCGATAGCAAAGAACTTCATAGCATCCTTGCTTTTTGAAATTATAAACTTGTGGTTGAAGTATAAGGTCACAACATACTCTATTCCTGGGGAAGTGATAAAGTAATTATCTTGACCAGGACAGCTCTTGACTGGAGGGGGGGAAAAAACACTTCTGCTTTTCAGTCTGAACTCTCTCACATTATGTATCATTCCCTTTAAGAAAGGTTCCATACTGTGGCTGTTGAGATGTCTGGATTTTTGGAGATCTTAGGACCTTGTCATGCAGGGTGGGGCAAAATAAAACTTCACTAAAATGGCAAGAAAAAGACAGCAGCAAACCAGCCTTGACCTGTTTTAATTTTAAAAAATGTGATTTTAAGTGGAGCTTGCAACAACATGTTGCATATTTTTTTATCTTCTGATACAAGGACAAGGATGGTCCAACCCAGAAGTCGAACATGGACTATCTGACGTCTTTGTTCCAGCCTGATAAAGACAGAATCCAAACTTCTGAAGAAACTCAAGAGTGCTGTGAAACACAAATCCTTGAGCCTTGTTATGTATTCTCACCTCCCCTCTTGCAAAAATTGGAAGCCTTTGTCCAGCTTAGTACAGCTTCAGGGCAAAGATTGTTGTGAAATAGCAGCTTTCAGGGCTTTGTAGAGCCTTAATCTTTTCCTGACCCCAAAATACACAAGGGGCAAACAACGCTAGAGAGAGAGTCACAGCTTTGGGGAACTATGGGTGTGGCAACAAATGAACAGTTGCTGGAAATTTAGCTTACCTAACAGCTGCTGTTTTAATATTTTCAGAAAATCCTGAACCTGAGCTACTATCATGTTTTCCCCAAAATAAGACATGGTCTTATTTTCTTTTGACCCCCAAAATAAGCACTTGGCCTTATTTTCAGGGAGATCTTATTATTTTTGAGGTGCAGGAGGCAGTGAACATTGTCACCTCATGGCTGCTGCTGTGTTGCAATATTTTGGGGGAAGGTTTATTTTCAGGGGAAGGCTTATTTTAGCGTATGCGCTCAAAAGCCCGATTGAGCTTATTATGCAGGGAGGTCTTATTTTCAGGAAAACAGGGTACTTCTTGATATTCCACACTTCTAACATATTGGGCCTTAGCTAGGCAACCTTTGTCATCCTTGCTGAACAAATGAGGCAGCAGCAAAATTCTGGAACTTTATTTCTTTCCTGGAGTTGATGACTCTCCGAGTCCTCTTGTATGAAGGAAAGCATCCAGTACAGAATGAGCCAAACAGAAATTTCCCCAGTACTGGCTGGGGAATTCTGGGAATTGAAGTCTACAAGTCTTAAAGTTGCCAAGGCTGAACACCCCTGCTCTATATGGAATGTCTTTTCACATCCAGGAGATGGCAGGGACAACATCCCTGCTCATCTCTCAAAGCAAGGAAAGCATCCCTTTCTGAACAGAATAACAGAGTTGGAAGGGACCTTGGAGGACTTCTAGTCCAACCCCCTGCTCAGGCAGGAAACCCTCTACCATTTCAGATAAAATGGTTGTTCAATCTCTTCTTAAAAACTTCCAGCATTGGAGCATTCACAACTTCTGGAGGCAAGTTGTTCCACTAATTAGTTGTTCTCACTATCAAGTCATTTTTTAGTTTTAGGTTGCTTCTCTCCTTGATTGGTTTTCATCTATTGCTTCTTGTTCTGCCTTCAGATGCTTTGGAGAACAGGTTGAGAATAGTTCTTTGTGGTTCTTTGTAGCAACCAGTTAAGATATTGGAACACTCTTCATGACAAAGGAAAACAATTCCCTCCCATAACTAGTTGTGGCAGAAAAAAAGACTTGGGGAGAATGAATTGTCTCTCAACAAATTTTGGTTTGCCAGGATGTTTGGGGAACAGAAAGACTAACGGAGTTAGTATATAAGGTATATTCCTGTTCAAACCATTAATCATCTCCACTTCTTTATTTTCCTAGCTATCAGCTGGTTTATTCTGCTATTATGACCTCCTTGGGTTTTTCTGAGAAACGTCTTGGTCAATGTTTCTCAATGTTAGCAACTTTAAGATGACTGGATTTCCACTCCCAGGATTCTCCAGCCACCATACTGGGTAGGGATTTCTTTGGAGTTTGAGCCCTCACTTGATTGGTGGTTTCACTTAACCAAAGATTCAGCGTACTCTGGTACCGGTTTTTCTGCAATGTTCCATGGCACTGTCTTTAGCTTGTTTTCAACCCATGAGTGAGACAGTCTTAAGTCACCTTTAGCTGTACTTGGTTAAATTAGTACTTTTCTGCTTATTATGACATTACTAGGGGCAGTCTGTATAATTTTCTTCTGAGTCAAGGATGTCCAGGAGCACCTCAACTCAACACTAATAGCAATAGAGAAAACCCTTTCTTTAAAAAAAAATCATGTGCACCTCCCTCAATGGTGCCACTCACCATTTTTATTTAACAGCTTTTATGCAAACACAGTTGCAGCTAGATACTGGCACTTTTCTTTGCAGCACCTCAATTTCCATGTATTGTTTTAAATTAAGTAGGATATAAACCAGTAGCATAATCTATTTTTTTGCCTACCAGTTCTGTGGGTGTGGCTTGGTAGGGGGTTCATGTGACTGGGTGGGCCTGGCCAACTTTTTTTCACTTTTTAAAGCATTATTTTCCTGCCTATTCGCCCAAACCGGCAGGAAAAAATGCTTTAAAAAGCAAAAGAAAAGCTTCCCACGATCGCGCGGCTCACAGCTGTGCCACACGATCCTCGGAAGCTTTTTTTTTACTACCAGTTTGCAGAACCAGGGACAACCATCACCACCAGTTCGGCTGAACCAGGAGGATTTGACTCCTGGTATAAAAAATTGTCAGATGGATAG